GCTAAAAATTGTCGAAAAGGTCAATGCAGTGGAAGCAGAAGAAGTTAAAGAAAAATTCCCAAATCTCTTTAAAGGTCTTGGAAAATCTTCAGTTAGGAAGAGAGATTGCAATCCCCTCATGGAAATCCTGGTTACGTTTGGTACTGCTGAGATTATTGGAAACTTGTGCTCGAATTCAAGGAAATGCTATTGCTGAGGACCTAAAATACCATATCTTCCGGGGGAGAACGCCCCCGGACCTCCCTAGCAAAGAGCGCCTTCGGCACTGGATTTTCCTTTCAATTGGATCAGCGATACTATGAGTACGAACCCCTCTATGCAAAATGCTGGCTACGCCCCTGTATTGCCGCAGGTTTCCGAGGACTTCCAAAGGTTTCTGACCTCTGCCAATAGGGAGCTTAAGCAAAGACGACGATGACGCCGAGGACGACGCCTAGTAAAAAAATAACATTTTACCGGCGAAATTCGCGATTTTCTAGATCTGTTCGGTACGCCAATGGCTCTAAAAACGCGCTCAGGCTAAATATGCGATGACACCATTAAATTCCAAATGGAAATACGAGAAATTAGCCGTCGTCGTCCACGTTCCTTAACTAGCCGATTTTTTTGTCGTAGAGCTGCAGATTTTTTGTCGGGGTCAAATCGGGTTAAAATTTGTCAGGACATCAGCTTGCCACACACTAACCGATTTTTTGTCTCCACTAACCGCGTTGAGGCTTGGAGCCGGGTCATCCAAAATCAAGATAGCGCCTATTCCACTGAAGTGACTCTCATGACATTTCCATATTGGTTGAGGCGCGGGAGCCCCGACAAATTGTCTTTGTCCTCCGCACACTAGCCGACAAGGCCCGACAAGACGTTTTGAGATCTAGCACTGTCAGATATCGCCCGACAAGCCTGATCTTGTCGCAGACTTGTCTGAATTCACCGCACACTAGCCGACCAGTGAAGATTCTTTGTCAGCCGACAAAAAATCGGCTAGTGTGCGGCAGCCTTTAGACGACACAGAACTTGGTCATTTCACGTTCTTCTTTTGCAGAGAACGGCACAGAAATGTACAAAGATTTATAACGCACGTGCACAGCCATTGTTTTGCTCATTAAACCTTTTGTTAGGTGACGTTCTCGTTGCCGTCGTCTTCGTGGTTTGCTTAATTAAGCTCCCTACTGATTCTAAGAGGCGTCAATGGCTTTTGCAAATTCTTAGATTTTTCAACCACTTGTTACATTGTGTTAAAAAAAAATTGCAGAGAGGAACTTGAACGACCGCTAGCGGCGAAATGAACGCGCTCGACAATCCTTCATACGCAAGGTAATTGTTTTGGTTGGGAAATAATGCGCTGCAATATACTTAGTCTTTGAATAAGTTTCCTTACCAATCAAAACCGCGTTGCTGGGAAAAAACTTGGAACTTCGTACCTATCGATGAAACTTCGCAACAATCAAAACCATGTTGCTGGGAAAAAAACTAGGCACTTTACGCCAATCAAAACTGCGGCTGTGATGCAGTAATTATCGAGAATTTCCTCAGAATTTACGGAAACCATCGGAACTTTTCGAGTCGTTTTCGGTCTTCCGGCAGTTCATAGCAGCTTCCTCGTATCAGCCTTTACTTTGGTAAGCACTCAGTTCTGTAATTCATTATAGAACACTGAAAGTCGTTTTACCTTGGTTCAATTAGTAGTCCACTTTCGATCACTTTAGACTACTGTACTTCTGCCAACCACTATCATTTGTAGTTCTTTTTAGTTAAGATCAAACGTCATATTAGCTCATTTTTACATCAGTAAAGGTTATTTTCGATCATTTTAGTGTCATTTTATATCATTTTAGAT